GCAGGAATGGAGAGTAAAGTGGAAGAGCTCACCAGTTCCTCTCCACCTGTCCCAGGACAGCCTCTCCAATACCCTGGATCCAGATCTCGCTCAGTCCTACATGACAGCAGGAGGCTCTGCATGTCATGGAATCTGTCCTTTTTCCCACTGGTTAAGGAATTTTGTCTCTGGTGACAAGGAGGTGCCTGACACCTCTGAGTCTTCAGATTGGGTCAGGAAGATGGGCAGATGCCAGGAAGGTGGGAGATGGTAGCAGAGAATCAAAGGAGAACTAGAAGGGGTATTGCTTAGGCATGTCTGCCTTATCCTAGATCTTTGCTAAATTCACACCAACAATTAATCAGCTCTAAGTTGCTGATTAAAAATAAGAAGCACATCAATTTCCGTTCAACTGCTGTTCCATAGCTCTTAAGAACTGAGTTGCTGCCTGACTTCAGGTCCTACAGAAACTGCAGTATGTCATGCAAACCACCATTTCCCCAGGCTTTAGCTGTGGAGCTGCACAAGTCCTTCAGAGAAGAGTTAAGGCCGTTTCATCTTGTCTGAGATGGAAGAGAAGAAAACAGCCAGAAGTGCGTACATTTTAAAAAATGTAACTTCAATTTAAATATTAGATTCAGAAGGGGAAATCAGTTCTGACCAACAGACACTGTGCTAGGCTACACATCCCTAGGCACCATCCACTCATCTTCCTAGCAGGTTCACTCCAAGGCAAAGTAGACCCTGTCTATGCCATCTTTGTTTATGGAGTAACATGGGATTTACAGTTCCTGAAGAGAAAATCAGTGATGACATTTGCCTAGGCTGTCTTACCCAGAACTTAGTGCACAGGAAAGTCTTCTTCTTCTGGATGGCTTCTTGTACTAAGAGCTCACGTCCTGCAGAGCTCTCCAGGACTAGACTCACTTGAAGCTTTGTTTCATGACAGGTGATATGGAGGCAGGCAACTTGGGTGGATGGGTAGTGGAGATCCGCAGGGATCACCACCAGGTAATGTCTGGGGCAGGGGAAAGAAGACATCAGAAGTGGCACCAGGTTCAGGACTCAGACGCAAAAGAGCTTCTCTACAGTGGCCCACTGCTGCAGAACTCCTCAGCAGTGTGCCATGGCTGCAAACAGTATTAAAAGAAACAGCAAACCCAGCAAAATGATTGCTTCACTGATAATTTAATAAATAGTTTCTTCTTTATTAGCTGAAGTACAGCCCTATAATCTTTTTCAAATCCCTTACTAAAGTCACCTCCTGAACTCCCCAAAACTATCCCTTACTGTCTTTAGAAGAAGTGGCCCTAGACCTTGCAGTCTAGATACCAGTGATTTGACCTGGCATGGCAAATGGAGAAGCAAAAATCCCTGGGCCCAAGGTCTGACTTGGAAGCACCACAATAATGTGGCTTGTATTTTAATTCACAGGGGTGAACCTCAGGCATGGGAGGCAAGATAAATAACTCAGTTACCCTTTGGGGTGATCTGATAAGGCAGGAAGCACATGAGCTGACAGGATGGAATGTGGTCCATCTACCTAGACTGACACCTTCATGAAAAAGACCAAAACAGAAGTTCAGCATCACTCACACTTGGTGAAAAGCAGCTGTCATGTGGAACAGAAGACTCAGGAGGATGACTATCCTCATCTTGGGGGCTCTTGCTGCCCAGTCTCCAATGGCCCTCTTCCTCTGAATCACTGAGGCTGGTTTTATGGGGAATAACTTATTTACAGCACAGCCAAGATGAAGAGGTGGTACAGGGGGAGGAGCCAGCTTCTCCCCATCTCTTCCTCTCTCCTGAGATTATATGGAGGCAGCTGTAGGGATGGGAGTACTATGCCAAGGGCCCCTTAGCCAATAGTAGCTGCTTTGGATGCCATCCACCAGTTTAGAACATCCTCTCCCACAAGGCTGCCATGGAAAACATCTGATCAAACGGTCTTTTAATGGGGAAAACAAAACAAAACAAAACAAACCCACACAACAGCGAGAACTTTGCTAATCAGTGACCCAGGCCAGGTCCTGATCACTTGTCACTTGCGTCCCTTTGTTTCAGCTGGAGATGGATTGCTGCTCTGCAGCCAACAGCAAGAGCTCACCCCACCACACTCATGACAGAGGCCCAGTAGCTCTGGATCAGATTCTGGGATGTGGATTTCCTTGGGCTGTTTGGCTTGACAATGGGAGCTTCCATCAGCTCCCTGCACCACCCATTAGAAATAGCACCATCTGCAACGAGGGAGCCCCAGGAACTGGTTCCAGTTTCTCATTGTTTGTGTCTGTATCTCTGAAAGGTCTCGGATACAGGAACACAGCCTTTTGTTTCTGCTTTTGAACCTGAGGATCAGGTTGATACTCAGAAATTAATCATGTGGGACATTTTCTAGTACTGATGACAACCTGTATAGAAGGGTAGACAATTGTGATGGTTAACCATCCTTGCCTCCAGAAAAGCATGATCACCATTTAAACTGCCTGTTGTGTACTGTGAGCAGTACACAAATTTCATTAACTCACAAACTATATCTGAGACTTGTGTGAGGCAGCATTGGTTATCCCAGTCTGAAATGTGCCAGGGACTGTCCTAGTAACGTGGCCAGCTAGCCCTTCTGTGCTTGGAAATATTTCCCAGTGCTGCTGCTGGTGCCTGCTCAAGCTCTGCCTGTCAAAAACAGGTCCTAGGATGCCTAGAAATTTCCAGCTGTCTTGGGATCCCTCTTCCTAAGGCTGTCCACTCTCTTTTTCCACATGGGGTTGGGAAGACTGATCTCCATTTTACCTCTATGGCTGGGCCACTCTAGAACAAGCATGCATCACAGGCACTATACAACATGCACAAAAGCTGTTAGTGCTAGTATTGCCTTTGTCTCAAGTGGACATATCACTTCTGAAGTGGTTGAGATAACTGGCCAGAGGCCAGATATCCCAGCTGATTTCAGAAATCAGCTTTGAGTTGTTTTAAATCAGTGTTAGGCTCCTAGGCAAGGAAGACTGGACACTTTATTTTGATGGATATATTTTCCCCATTCTTCTCTCTTTGTGAAGGAAGGTCATGTTACTGAGGGTGGTAGGCAAACTTAGAAATTTTGCCTAAAACCTCAGGTTTTCCTAAAGAAAGCACCAGCCAAATCAATCATAAATCCATAAACCATTGCCAGAGAGGTCCAGCTGCTGACAGACTTCTGAAAGGAGCTGCACCCATCAGGGCCAGCACTCAAGAGATCTCTCTGACCCTGTCCCACCACATCTCTCCTACCATGTTTGCCCAGGTGTGTTCTCTATTCCTTGCTTGGCTTTGGCAAATGTGGCTCTTAGTCACAGGAACATACCTTTGAAGAATCCACATTGAAGGCAGTGACTGCACAGCTGTTATGGACCCAAACAAAGTCTCTGAAACAGTAAGGCTGTGCACAGTTTCTAGATCTGCAGTTTCTTTCTCTAAATGGATTCAAAGAAGGCCTTTGTGATAGAAGGGCTGAGCCAAGAGACCCACAGAGAGGAAGGGATCTATCCCTCCTGAAAACATGCTCTTCTGCTCAAGCAAAGGACATAGAACACACTAGCAACAAAAAAACACATAGATGCCTATTCTCCACAGGTAACTTGAATAAAAAATGAAAAGGAAGAAGAGCCTTAGTAAAGGTCACATCTATGACCATGGAAGTCATCTTCCACGGTGCAGAGTGAGGCCAGGAGCAATGGCCTCCTGGAAATCACTCCAATGTTTTCATATCTTTAAACAAAAAGGTAGTAGCATCAATAGTCAGAATGATATGAGTCCTGGGGAAGCACCAATGTCTGCAGAGCACTTGGACAGGAGACTGTGCAGGGAGGAGGAAGCAATTGGTTTCTTTAAAGAATCAGATCGTAGTGCAGAACACTTCATCAAAGCAACTGAATCACTCTTCACTTTGCTCTAGACACTCATCACCAGCTTCACACAGGCATAGGGTCTTCTCCATTGCTGCCTGCTTTTCTTCCCAACTACAAACCTCATCCCCCTGCCCACTGACATTTCCAGCTCGCCTCTTACACGCACATTCACACATTCTATAACTGATGTGCACCATCTTCAAAGGCAATAAGGCTTTATATTTTGAGTTCTGATTGTGAAGCATACTTCTGCATTAAGGATATTTCACAGTACATGCCAAGCTTTGTGTGTTTCCCCACAGTGTCTTGTGTTGTCCTCTCCATACCTGTCGCACACAGTCATTTTGTTTGGATTTTTCCCTCTTGGCAGCCCCTTCTGCTGCTGTCCTTCCTTTCTGCTGAGACAAGAAGAAACTTTCTGGGAGAAAAGAATGAAGGAAATTATAAATATCTTCTGCCTAGTCTGATGGAAAGAGGGAATAAAACCACTTTGCCTTTGTTCTAGTGTCTTGAGATTTGATCACTGGTGCATCATCAGGTGAGGGTGGTGATGGGATGGTGTTTTTTCACTCAATTTACAGTTGTGTATTGAGACTTTGAAGCATCTTAGACAGACTAGGCTTGTCTGTGACTAAGTGTCTTGGGGTTTTACAGGAGAACCTCTCCAATGAAGACAGGCTGACAGAGCTGGGGTTGTTCAGCCCAGAGAAGCAAAAGCTCTGGGGAGACCTGAGATCACCTTCAGCTACAGGAAAGCTGGGGAGGGACTTTTTAAGAGGGTGTGTAGCAACAGGACATGGGGCAATGGCTTTAAACTGGTAGAGGGAAGATTTAGGTTAGACATTAGGAAAAAATTGTTTAGTGTGAGGGTGGTGAGACACTGACCCAGGCTGCTCAGGGATGTTGTGGCTGCCACATCTCTGGAAGTGTTCAAGGGCAGGTTGGATGGGGCTCTGAGCAACCTGGTCTAGCAAGAGGTGTCCCTGCCCATGCAGGGGGGTTGTAAATAGAAGATCTTTAAGGTCTCTTCCAACCCAATCCATTCCGTGATTCTGTGAAGGTTCATAAAAATCTCTGAGACCATAATGCTTCTGCAACTTGACCAGCATCCATGATGGAATCTCTTGAAAGAATCTCTCCATAATACCAAGTTAGGCTGCTGCACCCATTTTCTGCTGCCTTGACAGCAGAATTTGTTCACTACACCAATGCTAAAGCAAGGAATTGAGAACACACCTGGACAAACACAGCAGGAGCAGGAATTGGCTGAGTCAGAAAGCTTGAAGGTAACGGTGTAAACTGTTCTATGCCTCTCTCAATACTTAGCTCCTACACAAAATCATTCAAAGAACTGCAAGCCTTCTGAATTTTTTGTCCAGAAATCTACTACAAACATTTGATTTCTAGACTTTAAATTTGTTCGTTGAAATTGAGCTTGGAAAATTATGGAACTATGCCCAAGGGAGTTTGGAAATCTCCACAAGTAGCCTCTCAAACCATGGGCAAGCCACAGATCCATGGATCTATCTTCAAAGAAGAGGTATGTAGCCTGAAGCTTTGCATCCTTTTCACAAAGGGCACAAATTACTAGTGCAGCTTATTTTTAGCTTACACTCCAAAAATCCACACAACCCACTGAAAGAGCCATCTTCTGAACCTTCTTGGTCCAATTCCAAAGCTCTGATTCTTGCTTCATCTCTACTACTCAGCCCACTGAACTTTGAAAGTCTCACCAATCCTCTAAGCACAGTGACTTCTCCAAATCACAACATACTGATTTGTAAATTCAAATCTAGCCATCAGGTAAACTCATTTGTTGAAAACCATTTCAGGTTGGTAAACTGGCTCAACCAAAACCACAAAGACTTCCAGATCTGAGTGCTGTGGCTTAGGCTTCATCTCTAGTGTTAACAGATAATCAAACACAAACAGAACTGAGTGGTAAAGTTTGGGGTCCTAGATAAAGCAACTTCCATCTGAATAATTCTGGTGAACCTTCAACTACCTGCAATATATTTGTGGAACCATTAGGTAGGTATTATGTGAGATTCTTAATTTTGGCAAAGTCACACACTTTCTCACTTAAGTGGCAACTTTGATTACACTCAAGGAACTCCTTCTTGGTGGAAGGACCAAACAAAACTCATTTTCTATGAGAATAGTCCTAGTAAACTGACTTGAGACATTGCAGTATCTTGGAAGAGCTGATCTTTGTGGAACACCTTGAACATTGCCAGACATGGGCAGGAGGCTACACTCAAAGTCAGGATATTTCCTAAAAATCTTTTGACTGTGCCCTTTCCATTTAATGTAGGACTGAGCACACAACTGGAGATAAACAATGCAGCAAGTGATAGAGACCTGCTCACTATTACTGAACACAGGTTCAGAAGCTTGAAATTAAAAGGCATATGGAAGGAGCATCAATGTAAAAGAGATATTCCAGTGTTGGTTAGATACAATTCACAGTGTTGCTTTATCTGCACCAGCTATTTTGATGACACACATACACATATGCCAGGTGCACAGATGTGCCATCTTTCTGGAGGTTGCATGAAAAAAGGGACAGGGAAGATTTTGTCCATTTGAGGAAAGGTATCAGAGATGCTTCTTCATCTGGCAATCCTGCCAGTCCCTTTGCTAGCTTCGCTCCCTTTCCTCTGCCATGTTCTTTAGGTAGATTTCTTTTGCTAAGCTGTAAAGGGTACAGGCCACAGTAAGCAGTTGGTCAGTTCACAGATAAGCAGAGCCATAGTCCCTGGGCACTTGGAAGGAAAGTACCTGCCACACAGGGTACTTCCCTTCCTAGACTTGGTCTGCTCAGGGGCATAATCTCTCTTTAACAAAGCTCTTTTCTCCTCTCTGACATTCTTCTCCCACTCCACAGTTCTGGTGCTATTCCATCTCCTCCTTTATGGCAAGCAAAGAAGGTGAAAATATTTGCTCCCTACAGCAGAGACACCAGGTATTTTGAAGGAAGGTGTGACAGCCAACAAGAGGCCTACCTGCTGAATTCCAGGAAGACTTCAGGGACACAAAAGGCAGCTCTAATGCTTCTGTCCCTATTCCGTCTCTGAGGACATTTTACACCACACAGTATTATGGGGTTGAGCATACTCAGCTAGCTGTTGAAACAGCTGTGGGGCACACTACAGCAATTAAGCATAGCTGGATTTCATGGGAAGCAATAAGATTATTTAAAATATAGCATATGTTCTTCTGTCTATACATGCAGAAACCTGAGCAATGTCTGGATCTCATGCTGTGGTTCCCCTAGCTAGGAATTCACAAGGCAACATGTCAGTACTGCAGACAAGCAGGGGATCTCCCAGTTCTTGTGTTTGCAGGCACTCTGGCCAGGAGTTGCTAGGACGCTATTGGTTCCAGATCACTTCTGGTTCTAGAAGAGTGAGAAGAAGGAGAAAGAGGTGGTAATTTCTCATAACCTGCTTGTCACATGGAACAGCAGGATTGGGGTGTTCAGTGAAATACCCATCAAAAGGTATCTCACATTGCTATTTAGTATTCCTTCTCCTAGTATGTAATTATAATCAAACACAGCCCCTTACCATAATTTAGACCTGCAATGGAGAGAGACTAGTAAGCAAGGGCAGGCCTCCTGGCTACACATCCATGGCCATGGAGATGGGAGGAAGAATATAATAGTGCTCTTGGAGGCAGCTAAGAAGCAAAACCTTCTGAGCTGCCAGTAACTTTGGAGCAGTGGTCAGCAAAGAAGAAAGTATTAGGTGCTGGGGAGCCCTTGCATAGAAAGGAAATGGAGTTCTGGTCAGAGATAACAGGAGAAGCAGCATCTTGCTCCCTTATTTGGGGAGCATTTGAGGAAGAAAAACACCATGTGCCAGTACAGGTTGGGACTGACCTGCTGGAGAGCAGTGTAGGTGAAAGGGACCTGGGGGTCCTGGTGGACAGGAGGATGGCCATGAGCCAGCAATGTGCCCCTGTGGCCAAGAAGGCCAATGGCCTCCTGGGGGGCGTTAGAAAAGGTGTGGTTAGTAGGTCAAGAGAGGTTCTCCTCCCCCTCTATTCTGCATTGGTGAGGCCACATCTAGAATATTGTGTCCAGTTCTGGGCCCCTCAGTTCAAGAAGGACAGGGAACTGCTTGAAAGAGTCCAGCGCAGAGCCACAAAGATGATGAAGGGAGTGGAACATCTGCCTTATGAGGAAAGGCTGAGGGAGCTGGGTCTCTTCAGCTTGGAGGAGACTGAGGGGTGACCTCATCCATGTTTACAAATATGTAAGGGGTGAGTGTCAGGGGGACGGAGTTAGGCTTTTCTCAGTGATGACCAGTGATAGGACAAGGGGCAATGGGGGCATACTGGAGCACAGGAGATTCAAGGTGAATATCCAAAATTTTTTTTTCCCTATGAGAGTGACAGAGCACTGGAACAGGCTGCCCAGAGAGGCTGTGGAGTCTCCTTCACTGGAGACATTCAAAACCCACCTGGATGCATTCCTGTTTGGCCTCCTCTAGGTGACCCTGCTCTGGCAGGGGGGTTGGACTAGATGATCTTTCGAGGTCCCTTCCAACCCCTAGGATTCTATGATTCTATGATTATTGTAGCTGTGAGAAGATCCTGAAGGAATGGAGGTGGGCCCATGACACACTGGAAGACCTGTGAAAGAAAAGGCACCTAATATGTAGGCCATGAAGGAGGGACCCAAGGCCAGCAGCAGAGCTGACCAGCCTGGTCACCTAAGAAGGCATTTCCCTGGGATGGCAGGACCACAAGAACATCTGTAAGCAGGAGAGAGAGATGATGTTTTTAGCAATGAGAGAAAGTAAGGCACAGAATGACAGATCCTTGGCACCTTATTTTTACTCATTTAGAATGAAGAGGAGGAGGAAGAACAGCAGTAGTAGGACAGAACTTGTTTCTTGAGAATGGTGGTGAGATCCTGGGCCAATGAAGAGGCCGTAGCGGTGCATTTGGCACTATAGCAGAGCAGGGCTGGCTCCTGCTGCAGCGGTGACATATGTCCCAGCTTTCACAGCCAGGGAGACTGGATTTTGTACAGTTAGGAAGCTTGTTATTTGTAGCTGTATTTGATAGTCAGTATGGCGGCACGTTGACTGTCCAAGCTTCCCTGAGATGATCCAGTTGCAGGCAGCAACAGCGCAAGCTTGTCAGTTGAGCCTGAAGTCCGACTGAACCCGTGTGTGTCGCCATGGCACAGGTAGTGCCACTGCCAGCAGTGGCAGGAAATGTTGGGAAATGGGAAATGGCCCATCAAAAAAGACCCCACTTCAAACATGCTGGACAAGTCTCTTAGTTAGGAGGCATTCTCTCCTCTGGGTGATTAAAAGTTTGTTTCATTTCTAGGAAACACCCCTTGCCAATGAAGTGGCTTCTCTGTAATAGTCCTCCTAGAAAGGAGATGGACGGAGATAAGATTAGAGAGGAGCGAGATACCATCAGCTAAAGAAATGGTGCCGGAATTAGCAATAAGGAAAACAAGCACATTGATGAATTCAGTAGGTGTGAAAGTTACTGGGCCTGTTAGGCTGGTCACTGCTTAGTCAGCTGCAGGGAAACACCCAGGAGAAAGCTTGTCTGCCCTATGGGACGCCAGCCTGCTCAGAGCCCAGCTCTGCCCTGCAGCCGGAAGGCAGCAGGTAACCATGCTCATGCTTAAGAGGTCTGTCTGAGGCCAGCACCTACAGAGTCTTCGTTGGAAGAGGGAAGGGACTTCTCAGAGGTTATCTGTGGAAACTGCCTCCTCCTGCACAGAAAATGGGCCAGAAGGTCTCACACAAGGACAACCAAGAGAATGCGGCTGAAACTATAGCCATCTGTGAAGTCTTCAGCCAAGGTGTGGTCCAGGCATCTCAAAGGCTGAAGGACTATCTTGGGTTTGTGGATCCTCAGAGCAAATTCCAGCCAGCCACAAACACACTGAGCGAGATCTTTTTGGTCAACTTCATCAGCTTCTGCGTGGAAAAGGGAGTGAAGGAACACATCGTGACCAGCAAAATGACCAAGTAGCAGGCCTCCCTGTTTGGGGTAGACTGGATCTGGACTCTCTCTGGAGCTGACAAGCAAATCAAACTCCAGCTTGCTGTGCAGGCTTTGCAGCTGGCTGAGCTGCTCCGTGGCGAAGGCGGCCCCGGGGAGGTGGTGGAGGATGGTTGCTGCTGGGAAGCAGAGCAGCCCTTCCACAACAGGAGCAGGTTTGAGAAGCTGGCAGAGTTCTGCCGCCTGGTGGGACAAGACTGCCTGGGCTTGTTCATCCTGTTCGGTGTGCCAGGGAAGCCCATGGACATCCGAGGAGTCATGCTAGACAGCCTTGCCAAGGAGAAGCAAAAATGCTGCCTGCCGGACAGGAGCGCGCTGTGGCAATTTGTCACCAGCACTGACAGCTTCCTGCCTGCAAGGGACATGTTGGAACACTGCCTCAGTGCAAGAGATGGACCGAAGGAGGTGGGCAATGTGTACATCAACTTTTTGTAAACCCCTGGTTAGCAGCAGTGGCTCTGCACGCCGGCACCAGAGGCTGCATTGGGCTCAGCTCTGCTGCTCTCACTTTGTTGCTTGCATGCTAGTCCCTCCACCCCTTTCTTTCCCCACCTTCCCCACTGCATTCCCGTAGCTCCTGCAAAAGCCAGGCTGAGTCAGTCCCTCCAGGTTTTAAAACAACAGGACATACCTGCCAGAAAAAAATTTGTTTATAAAAGGCAAGTAATTTTTCTAGGACATTTTGTTCACCAGGTATTAAATCTTGGCTGGAGCTAATGAAAAGCTTAATGGCCCTGAGCCTTTGGGAGGTCATGGCAGCTTTGACTCACAGCCTTTGTTTACTGTGTAGCAGATATGGTTTTTTTCTGTAATAAGGAGGCTGGGACTGTTATAAAGAAAATGTACTGGTGCTGGTCTGAAGATTTGGATTGAGCAGGAAGGACAATACCAGGGCTTAAACAAGCTGGTCTGAAGGAGTGCGTTGGTTCCCAACTAAGAGTAAAAGCCTCTGTGATAGCAATGGGCTGTATGAGAAACCTATTCATTTATTACTTGCCCCTTAAAAGTAGATCAGTGCCAGGCTCCAGTGGGCCTGCGTGCTGTGACTGAAAGGCAGGGGCAGGGCTGGTCCCAGCTGCAGTCTGTTCTTGTTTAATGGCTGTGTCAAGTCAAGGTGTGGCAAAAGGCAGTGCCAGGTGTTACAGAAAACTTGGGAAAAATCAACCCAACAAGGACAAAAAAAATCTGACCCTGGAGACACTGGTGTGTTTTTGCTTTTCATGGCAGCAGAGGCAGCTCCTGACCACTCACAGCAGGGAGCAAAAGTCTGGAGGAGGCAAAAATAATTAACTGCAAATGTTTTCAGTAGCTTAGCAGCTGATTGCATTTATGGACTGATTTATTCCATTCCCCTCAGCTTTTAGTGGACAAAGTGAGATTCTGGGTTGCACAATTGTAATTACTTTCCTTCAGCCACCATTCACCAGTGGAAAACCTGATCAGTTTTCAAACTGGCAAACTCCCTCAGTTTAGAGCTAGCTGAATAGCTTCATCAGTGCAAAACTCCTCTGCCTGTAGTTTTCTTACCATTTTATCAGATTTAATAGAATAAAAACAATTTCAAAAGGTCATTCATATTTTACTATTTACTATTTGCATTATATCATGGAGCAGCTGTGACAGCTGAGAAATAAAGGCTGTTATCACACAGCCATTAAAAAAAAGCCAAAAAGCAGGTCCAGCATCAGTGCTAGAAGTGTTCACAGCCTTCCATGGCATAGAAGTGGAGGTTGAAAGGTGAACTGAATTAAAAACATGGGGAATTGGGGCTTTTTTTTTGCTGAGTCACAAAGGTAGCCCAGTAAGGAGAAGGAAGACCTTTCAGCTTTGAAGCTGGTCACTGAGATAGTTGTTTTTCAAGAGCTGGTGTCGTAATTTTGTGTGAATAGCAGAAAAATGCACACAGGTGGGACACAGTTCTGGTGTTTTAGAGAGAAAACACATGTAGCTATAAGGGAGCATGTGCAGAGACGGAGGGGGCTTGGGGGCTTGCCTGTTTAGATAACAGCATAACCAATACTGCAGCAGGATTGATTGCTTTTTAAAAGACCAGCAGAAAATCTTTGTGCATGTGATAGGACAAGGGGTAATGGATGCAAACTGGAGCATAGGAGATTCCGTGTGAGTATCAGGAAGAATTTACTGTGAGAGTGACAGAGCCCTGGAACAGGCTGCCCAGAGAGGTTGTGGAGTCTCCTTCACTCGAGACACTCAAAACCCACCTGGACACGTTCCTGTGTGATGTGCTCTGGGTGGCCCTGCTCTGGCAGGGGGGTTGGACTGGATGATCTTTCGAAGTCCATTCCAACCCTTAAGATTCTGTGATTCTGTGAAATTATCGTTGGGGTGGTGAGACACTGGCACAGGTTGCCCAGGGAAGCTGTGGAAGGCCCCTCCCTGGAAGTGTTCAAGGCCGGGTTGGATGGGGCTCTGAGAAACCTGGTCTAGTGGGAGGTGTCCCTGCCCATGCAGGGGGGTTAGAACTAGGTGATTTTTAAGGTCCCTTCCAACCCAAACCATTCTATGATTCTATGAAATTGGTATCTTAGAACTCTTAGTGTGTTTCTCTTAAGCTATTCAGTTCTGTAGAAACGGTGTCTCTCTCTGAGAACTGGTAGGCCTTATTTTCCTTTGGCTGTTTTGCATGCTTTTCTGGTATTGGCAAGGAGAGATTCAAAATGTCTTGACTAGTTTGAACTATGGAATATATAATTACTATAATTGGGGTAGCTGACAATTTGATTCATGTCCTCCAAAGTGGTACATCAGAGATGTCACACAGCCTGGTGACAGCTCCCAGGTTGGGCCACACTTCACAAACATGACAGAGTGCCTGGCTGCTGAACTGGCTTTGCCCAAGCAACACTCCTTTTCTTCTTGTTCATTCCAGAAGGATAAAGAGGATAAAAGCTCAGGAACAATATAAGGCTCCTTTCTCTAAGCCAAGTTACATTTACCAGAACCTTTAGGAGGATACTATTAAGCCCCTGAGGCAAGTGTCTATTTCCTTACCTGTTGTACAGTGCCTTGAAAAATTGAAGCAGCCAGAGCTCGCCTCAGCTACACAGGCTGCTGGGAAGCCAGGAAGGGCAAGGACTTTCTTAGGGCAAGTGGTCACTTCACCACATGCATTGCAGAACCAAGAGGTGCTTCAGCTCTGGCCCCTGTGGCTGTTCCAGGGCTAACACCAGATGCACAGCTGGGGCTGCTGCAGCACCAGGGGGAGTCATGGCTTGAGACCCTGCTCCAGGAGTGAGATGAAGGAACAGCTCATTTCTCACCTCCTTCCTCAGATCCTCTGTTGCAACAGAGGGAGCAGCACCCAGAGACAGGCCCCTGCCATAAACAAGCACATCTTCCCTTTTCCTGGGGGTACAGCTGCCCCTGCACAGGGCTAAGGGAAGGGGATCCACCTCTGGCAAAAACCAAAGCAGCAGCTGCCTCTTCCATCCTGCCCCTCTCAGGAACCCTTCCACAAAATGCCTTTTGTGCAGGAGGCTCACGTTTTCCCAGCTGCTTTGTAACATGGAGGTCAGTAGTACTCAGCAGGTCCTGTCAGAAAACATCTTCTGTAAGACAGATGAACTTGCTCAAAGGAAAAAAAAAAACAACAACAATATGTAAAGCCAACTTCTATCACTGACTTGCTCAAAGGACCATTAAGTGAAAGGAACTGTGACACAGTTTTGTTTCAGTAGGTTATACAAAATCCCTCTTTTTATTTATTAAAAGAGCCTCATGATCACAAGAAAGATGTACAAAATAAAGGTAAAAAGAGGAGATTGGAGCGATAGGGAAAAAAGTAGAGTTTACTCAGCATCAAAATACAGCAGTTTTCACCAAACTCAAAAGAAAGAGATAAGCACTTGGATAATTATCTAACTGGCTTTTTTTTTTTTTCTTTAACCTTCACTTTATGGAGTGTTTTACAATTATAGTTTGTCTCTTATGAAGCCCAAGATGATGGCCTCTGTAACACAGAAGTGATTCACCTGCAAGATACTTTATTTCTTACACAGATATGAAAAAGTCAGTAAATGAATAAGCAGAGCAAGTAATACAAAACAGTTGATGTGTAGCCAGCTGGAGTTATTTTTTACAAACTTCATTAAATACAACAATGAAAAAAAAGAAATCTATGCATATCCCACAATGATACAAACCAGCAGCAAGGTAATTTCTCTCATATTTCTGCGTTTAGCCTCCTAAAAAGGGACTGAGACTTCCTTCAGTATTGTTTGAACTTTGGAGCATAGTATTAAAGAACAAGTTTTAGAAGCACACATCAAAAATTCAATACTTCAGAGGAAAGTATATCATTAATAAAATTAATAACAATATTATCCATTTGAGGTTCCCTAAATTACCTGTAGTATCTTTTTCTCCTTTTAATTAATGCTGAAAATTAACCTTTTAAGTGCACAGTACCCATCTGTTGGACAGGCACAAAAGACAACATGGGAAGCTATAACCTCTCATACCTACCCAAACCTTTCAAAAAGTGGTTCTATACACTGACACTTGCAGCTAACTAGCATCCACATTACTTCATCTATCACTAAACATCCTTTCAGTCACTGATTTCATCACCAGAAAAAAGATTTTTAGTTTCATAGATTCCTAGCAGAACAGCTCTATCCTCAACAGCAACTCTGTTGCTTAGGAGCAGAAGGTTTGGCACACAAGATGCCTTAAGTTTACTAAAGATTAGGTAAAAGGCTGCTGTAAAATAATAAAAAAAAAGTATATTAAAAAAATAAATCAGAGCTGTAGTAAACAGCATCTAAGAAACAGCTTTAGATTAGGTGAGACATTTCAATTTGCTGTCAGTTTGGTGACTTAAGGCTGTTCCCATGCACACATAGCAAGCAAAATCCTTTGGAGCTTTGCCTAAGCAAGACAGGCAGGAGAGTTCCCTGACTGCATGCACACTGCTTCCTCCCAGGCTGGGCCACCTGCTGAAACCCACCCTGTCAATGAACCTCAGCTCCCTTTGTTCCAAAGCCACCTCTGGGAAAACAAGAAACTTAACACTAAATCTCGTCTTCACCCAGCATTTTTGTCACTGCAAGGAGCATGGAGAACAACTGCTTTTGTATTCCTCTGGCACCATCCACTATTTCAAAGTAAATTCAAAAGTTAGTTGCTTTGTTGTTTTGGGTTTTTTTTCAGTATTCCACACACAAACAAGCAAAGAATTCCATGTACTTGTGGAGCAGTGCACAAAGCCACCTGCAACTTGTAGTTTCTTTCATTGCCCAGGGATGTGAACAATGACCAGCTGGAAAAGTGTTTGCACCTAAGAGATGCTATTCCATAATACAAAGGCAACTAATTTTGTATTGCCATCTACCTCTCTGATTAACAAGGCAGCTTGAACAAGTTCAGTCATAAGTGATTCATTGTCATCCTTCAACTGAACAAGCATCTTCAGG